TCCTCTGCAGTTAAATACAGATTAAATCACTGATTCTTCAACAGCGTATGTCTCAGTTTCTCAAACAATTAATTAAAAGTCGCTTTCTCTTGTTTTTGTTTTGTTCTGACATTTCTGCAAGCTCACTCTCTTTGTCTGCACTCACTCCATTTCACCATCACAAACCCCAGATGTTTTAGTTCCTACCTCTGGGTTTTACATAACTATAGAATGGCAAGGACCCTTGTTCAGTGTGTAAAAGTTAACAACATCCCTGAGGAAAGACATGCTATGAAAAGCAATTAGACAGTCTGCCTGAACCCACATTTAAGCAGCCAATAGTTTGGCACATGAGAGTCAGCTCTTATTAGATTCCTGCACTGTTATATCAGTTGCTCCTGAGGATGTCAATAAATGGATTTCCCTCAGTTGTTTGCTTTTAAATGAGTCCCAATGCAGGGGACGCTCTTGTTTCACACCATGTTTATGCGAGTAGACTATCCTTTGAAGTTGTTTGTGTCTGAGCTGGTCCAACAGGATATGCACCACTGCCTACGAGCATGGCAGCCACATCAGAGAGAGCGAGATGAGACATTTTGTTGTTTATGTTGTTATCATTTCATGGTGATGGACTAAAGTGTACAGCATGGCTTTAGAAATGCTAGCTGGGCCCCTGGGCCTGCGGCCAGCTGAGCAGCCTGTGGGTGGAACTCTGCCCACGGAGCCGGGTGGCAGTGGATTTGGAAGGAAGCATGAAGTCGTCTTTATTCTGTCTCATTAAAAGCACATTAGAGCCCACCCTCTCCCTGCACAACCCACTCAGCTCCTGCCTGACTTTGTCTCATGGAAGAGCTCTTCCTACATAAACATAGTCACATAGGTGAGAGGGGAGGGCTCCAGCAGAAATAGGAAAATCCTCCTATAAATAAGTCCAAGAGAACAAAAGTCGATCCTCATAATCACTTTCATTACAGTAAAGTGCAGAAGCTGCACAGTGGTACAGTAAACCTTCTGAAGTCACAGGAGTGGCCGAGTGTGCCAAGAAGCTGCGGATACAGTCAGACTTTCCTGGCATTTCTAAAAGCTACAGTCAAAGTCAATAACTGCTGACACAATTAGTCAGTGAGTAGATTATTAATGGAAATTAATTAACATGAAATGAATAATCAATTAAACATTTAAGAACTTTATCAAGCAACAAAGGTCAAACATTTACTGTTTAAGCTTCTAATTATGAGGATTTGCTGCCTATATCATTGTAAATTTGATGTCTTTGTGTTTTGCCTGATGGAAATTGTTCATTATTTTCTGACATTTTAAGGACTAAATCTGTGGTTCCCAGCCTTTAAGGATGGCAATGTCCGTCTGTCAGTCTGCCACTTTAGTCAAGACTGAAATAAGAAACTATTGGATGGATTGCCATGAAATGCTGTACAGACATTCATAGTGCAGAGTGCAAAAGCGCCACCAACTTATCCTGTGAAATCTGCCCAATGGATTGCCACGATAATTGGTACAGGCATTCATGTTCCCCTCAGGATGAATTGTAATAACTCTGGTGATACCATAGTCCCTTAGTGCACCATCGTGTTAAAGTGTTGTTTTGTACTTTGGTTTATGACTAAATAGCTGCAAAACTAATAACATTCTCATCAGCCTCAGCTGTAGTTTGTGTTTATTGCTAATTAGCAGGGTAGCTAGCTAACATGGTAAACATTATACCTGCTAAACATAAAGAGCTAGCATTATTATTGTGAGCATGTTAGCATGCTGTGCTGAGTCTACTTGCAGTTTTTTTTTTGTCTCAGACTTTTACTTGAATACTTTCAAGGGGCAGAATACTTACAATTATCCAGTAATTTACAGGCAAAAAACAAAGACTAGAACAAGTAAAAAATAAAAAAACAACAACAACAACACCATAGTTTTTTGCTTTTGAGTCTTTTCCCATCCTGTTGATCATCTCCCTCAGATGCGCCTTAGGGCTCCTTAGGTTGGGAACAATTGGAATGAACGATTAAATCGTTGGTCAAACAGATGAACATATAATGAAATCAATCATTATTTGCAGCCTTATGATAATAAATATTTCAGGGAAGCACATACAGGCAGCATTTTCACATGAAAAATATTTATATTATATATTTTAAGAATTAGCAGAGGGCCTACATGAGGATTTATAAATACAGTAAGCCATTACAAAAATAAAAATGGATACAGGTACTGGATCAAATTCAGAACAGGGAAGACTGTGATATTATAAGAGAAAGAAAAAGAAATAGAAAGAGCAAGAGAGTGAGAGGCAGTGAGCAAGAGTGAGGAAAAGAAGGAGGGAGAGATGAATTATAGCCTACTCCTGGAATCAATAATCTTGCGAATCACGGGCCTGGTGTGCTACAGATCTTTTTTCCCCCCCTTAACCGAGCAGAGAGGGTGACAGATGTAAAGAGTACAGCCTGCCGATTTACAAGGCTCCCAGACAGACCAGAGAGCAGAGAGAGATGCAGGGATAATCCTCACTGTGCCTGAGGAAGCAGAGGGACGAGCAAAGGCAAACAGGACAAAGACAAAGGGAGGATAAACCTGTTTGTCAGATGTTTTAAACAAAGTCTCCCACGCTTCCACCTCATTATCATTTGTCAGATGTCTTTCCTCTAACTTCGTCAAAATCTAAATGGCAGTAAAAACAAAAGGAGTCTAAGGCAGTGCATAAAGACTCAGTCTCTCCTGTGCTGCCATGACATGTAGCTCCTTTATAGCTCTTCTATGCATATTTAACCACTTTTCTTTTATTGCCTAGTGCTATGAGAGGCAGTGAGGGATACAACGATCTAACCTGACAGGTGTGATAGTTATAGTAGTATTTTTCCTTAAGATGGATTCACCTCACACCTGTTGTCTGTAGTCATATGGACTGAAATAGATTATTTCTTGCCTTTATCACTCTTGTTTCTTGCCCATTCTTGTCCCCTTATAGTGTGTTTGTCCATCCATCATCAATGCTTTTATCTTCTTGTCTGCCCTGCACAACATCTCAGAAGACGTTTATTGAACAAAACTTAAAGGAAAAGTTTGACATTTTGGGGGAATATTCTTATTTGATTCTATGCTGAGAGTAAGATGATGAGATAGATACAACTCTTGTGTGTAAGATTAATATAAGCTACCACTAGCAGATAGCTAACTTAGCTTAGCATTAATACTGGAAGGAGGGGTAGCAGCTAGTATGGCTCAGTCCGGAGGTAACAAAATCTGTGCACCAGCACATCTAAGGCTGGCTCCTGATGTCCACTCTGAGGCCAGAAAGTCCTCATCTCAACTGTGAACACTGACTCAAAACTAGCTGACAGAAGAGCATAGGGCTATGTGATATTAGCCCATATAATGTTAGATACATTAGGCAATGACCAATATAGAGCAGGATGGGCAAACTTGTCACACAGAACACCCAAAAAACACACAAACATATTTTCCTTAACTTTCCTAAAACTGCATGTTAGTCAGACCACATCAGCATCAGATCAAATATATGAGCAGAGTGAGAAAGAGAGAGCATTAAAACAGCCGAGGATACACAAAACACAACAAACTCAGCACAAACAATCAGATCAAATAATCAATTCAAGTAAAAATAAAAGGTTTTATGCAACACCTCCGGCACCTCTTTTGTCCGAGGATGTTTGAAAACCAATCCATCTACGATACAATTTCCCAACTTCATTTACGAACTAATTTGACTTACTAATTTTAAACTGCAAAAATAATGCTAACAGTTAGCTGCTAGTATGTTTTTCAAGGTGTGCTCACAGAGTGATACAGTGAGGTGACATGTGACAAAGTAAAGCTTCCCCACTGATCTTCTGGACAACCTAATTATCCCACATTGAATACCAGTGTGGGAATACTGAATGTGATGCTGACAGCACTATAGCTACGTGAGGTAGCTTTGTTCAGTGATAAACTCTTAATATCGCCACCTATGGGTGGAGTTCTCTTTTAACATACAGACATGAAAGTCGTTTCTATCTTCTCCCAGCCAGAAAGTGAATAAGATATTTTCCAAACTACTCCTTTGAGGGAAGAATGTGCACCACCTTCATCAATCAATCATCAATCACCTCATTTTAATATTTTGTAATATATGTTGGCTCAAAGGAGTCACTACAGCTTTTTACCAAATTCACTGATTTTTATAAACTAAAGGGAACGATGCTTCTCTCTGCTACTTTCTTACTATTTTTAAGTGATACTGATTGGTTGCAACATGAGAGAACGGCATCACACCATTGAGTTCTCATGTTTTTAACATTTTCTGATCAAGGGTCTTATTCATGTGTCACTCACAATACTTCAGACACATATGACCAGATTTTTTAATATCCAAAGATATCCAAAGATATGCAAAGATACATGCATTTTTCTGGTGAATCCCTCTTTTCAAAATGACATTCGTCCCAAGGTTTAAACTACAACCCCAGCTCCAAACAAGCGGTTGCTAGTTGGTCTACACGGAAGGACAACTTTTTATTTTTTTGACTTGTTTACTCTGTTTTTTCAACCATTAATTTATTTATTTATTGTTGTTTTGTACTTAGAGACTTTGAGAGATGGCTTTAAGATGGCTTTACAGGAAAGAAGTGACACCCGAAACTTAAAAACAGCTGGTGCCTTTCAGTAGATGACATTCAGCCCAGGAGACAGAATTTGTTGCTTGAGGGACTCAGACTAAGACACATTTAAATGCAAATTCTCTTCTTTACATTATTGATTGCTACACTCTACTAGTGGATGCTGTTTCTTTTTTGCATACTTTGCAGTTCCCCTGTACTTACGGGACAGTGTGGCACCCCATTACAGAGCCTTTAAATCAATAACTCCAGTATCATCAAGTAAAGATCGTTTGTCCTTACACACTTTTGGAAAATAACTGTCAGTGCTGAAGACTTTGCACATCTTTAATACCGTCTGCAACATATGGCCATTATGTGATCCAAGTTTATTTTGTCTCCTCTTTCAAGCAGCCTGAAGACCACCCTGAAGAAGAAACTGTCTGGTGATGTGGTCAACCTTTCAGGTATCCCGCTGTCTGGTCGAGACGTCCACCGTGTGGCCTTCTACCTCCAGAGTAGCAGTGACGCGGTGTCAGCCGTGGACCTGAGCTTCACAGAGCTGCAGGACGAGAGCTTACGGCTGCTGTTGCCCTACCTCGGCTGCATGCCGAAACTGACCATACTAGCTGTCAATGGCAACCGTCTGACACTGGCCATCCTGAAAGACCTGACAGACGCAGTGAAGGATCCTAAGAAGTTCCCCTGCCTGGCCTGGGTTGACCTGGGCAACAATGTCGATATCTTCACCGTGCCGCAGCCGCTGCTCGTGGCCCTGCGGCGCCGCTTCGGTTTACGCAGTAGCCTCCCCACTATTTATGAGTACAGAGAGGCGCAGGCATTTGGTGGCTACAACCCAAACATGGAGACCTCTGTGGAGGAGCCCAGTCTGTACGAGGAGGGAGATGGAGAGGAAGATGATAGAGAGGAGGAGGAGGACAGGCTGGAGCTTCGAGCCTGGGGCTTTGGAGAAGAAAACATGTCAAAAAATGTGCCAGTGCACTTCTGTGGGAGGTGATCGCCCAGAGCTGCTTTGTTTTAGACGGGCTGCACCCTATATCCATCAGTATCACCTCGCCCTAAGTTTAGCCTCCTGTGTTAGCAGGTGTCATTGTGGCAGATGCTTACAGTGACCCACATGTTTCTGAAAATAACTTTAAAATAAGTAACTGTGTTGTGTGTCCCTCTGGATGCTCTGACTACTGAAACTCAGCTATGAGATACAGGCAGCTCTGTGGTTGTACTGACACTAGGAATTTATTTATGGATCGATTCAAGTTTAGCTGAACATGTTTGCTGTTTTCCAGTGCTTTATGTTCTTAAGGTGTTGTGCTCTCACACCAAGACACTTCCCATTATTTGCCACTGTCCACTGGAGCAGCTGGGGGGTTAAGTGCCTTGCACAAGGGCACCTCAGCGGTAGCAGTTGAGGGAGGAGGAAGCTTTATCAACTCACATTCCCCAGGTACATTTACCCAGCTGGTTCGGCCTCTCTGGCAACTTTACTGCTCTCTCTGCCCCATTTCTGTGAAAAGTCTAAATCAGTCAAAGTGACTAAATATCCTGCTGAGGATCAGTTTAATTTCAACTGTCATTTTTGCTATGATATATATGTTTTCAGTTATAATAACTCAAATGCAGTGAGATTAGTTTCACATAAATTTGTTTTGGGCATTTATTCAGGAAATATTTTGAAATAAATGCCGATTCGTGGTAAGTAAATCACTGAATCTGTTTTAATTTAAATTTCCAGCGCTGATGCTTCAAAAAGTGTGGATATAGTGATGCTGCAGCTGTATGGAGAAAAAGCCTCAGCCCGATGCAGACACATGCAGACGACACATGGAGTGTTTGAGCTGCTGATTGAACTGATTACTGCCTCTATCAGGCCCCCTTCAGGCACAGATGGTGAGCAGAGGATCTATTTTTTCCCACCAAATAGGACTAGCCCTAGATAATTTCGTCCACTGGTGGTTTATGAATGATTCTATTTATGAATCAGACCATAAGCAACAAGAAAGATGCCAATTCTGTTTTTAAAGGCATACGCAGAATTGACGATGAAACTATTACAAACAGCTCCGCTTTTATCTTCTCCTCCGTGGCGCCACAGAGCGTACATAAATCTTTGTTGTGGCATGAATAAATGTTCTTTTTGAATTTGTCTTTTTTTTACGTGTGGTTCTCCTCTATCCTTTTTTATTGTTTTTTAAAAACAGACAGAGCGCATGTTTACATGTACGTTAATGTTCATTATTTGGGGGGGCTTTGATAAAAAATTGCCGCATGTGAACACAACTGTACAAGCCCAAACTTTATCCTGCCTACAGATGTTAATGTGGACTGTTCACTTTCCATGCTATTATTCAGGAAAATCTGTTTATTTGTCTGTCTACAGGGATATTAATGAACAGGATGCTTGGTTTGTGTGTGTGTGTGAGTGTGAGTGTGAGTGTGAGTGTGAGTGTGAGTGAGAGAGAGAGAGAGAGAGCCTAATTGGAGTGTGTGCCTGTGTGCATGATTGTGTTGTGGACATGCAGAGTAAATTACTACCTTTGATCGTCGAAATGAAATGTTTACTCATTTGCACTTTAAGGACGACTCCGTCCCTGAATGCACAAGCTTTGTTTTTATGGGTTGTTGTTGACATAAAAACAACTTACTGAGTCGCCCATATCCTAAAATAGATGTTTTATCTTAACTTCTTGATTTGATAGATAAATCATCAGCCTTCATACAAATCAGTTATAACTTCAGTTAATTTTTGCCTCATTAAATCATGGTCTGCTTTTAAAGTAAAAGTGATGTTTGCCTGCTGTTGCTTCAAAAATAAATATGGTTTGAATAACATTTGGCTTTTGTGGACATTTTGTAGCCGGCAAGTCTGGATTTTGAATGATTTTGCTAGGGCTATTAGTGTATTTATACTATAGTATAAATTAGTAAGTAAATTAGTGGTAGATTGTAGATAATAATAATGAAAAAATCGCCTCCATGTATTTTTACTGTTGTATGAGTGGATATAAGGCCAAAACTGAAGAAGTAATAAGAAAGAAATAATAAATAACATTAAATAAATGTTCAAAATTTGAAATAATTCAAAGATTTGATCCTGAAAGGTACGTATTGAGCTTTTGTTCATGCACACAGTTAAACCTGCATTAATAAATGTTCTAGTCCAATATTCACTCTCCTTT